TATTTTTCACTTCAGTACAGTATTCAACAGATTACATCTTATATTTGATACTTTATTATAAAACAGACTTTGTGTTAGATGATTTTGTCCAACTGTAGGCTATGTGTTCTGAGCGCATTTAAGTTAGGCTATGGCAGCTATACTGTTCAGTAGGTTAGATCTTTTAAGTGCATTTTTTAAATTTAGGTTGCTTTCAATTTGCAATGGGTTTATCAGGACATAAACCCATCATAAGTGAGGAAGATCTACATACCCTACTTAGTATAAACTGTCCCTTTTTGTATCTGTGCATTTATGTCTTTCATCAGCTCTAAAAACTCTTCTGCCACTACCTCGTCAAATATTGATTGCCTGTTTTCCAGTCAACATTATTTTCTTCTGGGACTCTGATTAGATGCATTTCAGAACAGCTTACTGTATTTTCATACCTTAATATCCACTTTTGGTATTTTCTATCCCCTTCCCCTCTCTTAGGTATTCTGGCTAATATCTTCAGATTTAACTTCTGACTAGCTCATTTGCTCTCAATCATCTGCTAATCTGTTATTTAACCTACCCATATGTTTTAAATTTCAATAATTATATTGTCCATTCAGAAAATGCTATTTGTTTCTTTTTTGAATTATTTCTAGTCATTCAGTCTCATGTAGCTTGATCAATTTGTAAGTCTAATTTTCTTCTCTTTAAATATTTATTATTATTTTGTAAATGAAAAATACTGCATCTGACGTTCAAAAGCTATTATTTACATTTTTTACAGATTTCACCTACAGCAATTTCTATCCCTGCCCATATGGTGACTTGTTGTAAGATGAGCTCATACAGTAACATGTGGGTGAAAACTGAAGTAACGTCCTAGAGATAAATTTGTGTGTGGTGTGTGTGTATGTGTGTGTGTGTATTAGTGAAGTATAGTCAGTTTATAATGTTGTGTCAATTTCTGGTGTACAGCACAATGTTTCGGTCATAAATGAATATACATATATTTGTTTTCATGTGTGTTTACTTTTGACAGGAGCCAGAGGAAAGCAGTGATGGAGAATCACGTTAGCGACCTTCAAGGTGTCAGCTGAGAGTGAAAACCACAGACTCAATACTCTGTCTCTGCCAGTGACTCCAGTCTTAGTCTTAGTCTCCTGATCAACGGCCGCATCAATGTTAGCATTTGTCCTCAACACAGCCTCACATTGCATGCTTGCTCTTCATGTCTCCCAGTTTCGGTTTAGCACACTTTTGGTGAAGGAGGTGAAGAGAAAGCTTCAGAAGGATTCATGGAAGTCTAACAAAGCATTAAGAAGTGTGTATCCTTTATCAAGGATAGTTGTTTTTAAGGGGACAGTCCTACTGCATACTCCAGAAACATTAAGTTATAAGACTGAAAATGTTGACAAGGAGAATGGTAGTCAATTAGAGAATGGGTACAGTGTTCAGTTAAATCGTGTATGATAAAAGAAATGGAGTGTGATAAACAGATTCATGAGTGGAATATAACATTTCTGTCATGATGCGAACTATGGGGCATCATAAGTAAATACGAGACATAAAGAAAGGAGAACTGGTCAAGTTTCACTTGCTAACTGGATAATGTTGGTAGTTTAACTCAGGTTAAATCTGGGTCTCTGGGAAAATGTCCATGGAATGAAATCCACACTGAGGTTTCTCTCTGATAGGTTTAAATCGACTCTCCTGCTTCTCAGCTGTAGTTATGTTATAGCTACACGATTTCACACATTGTACAGCTCTTCCTTTATGCTATCTTTTTACTACACTATAAGTCTTGTATACAAAGCACTCAAAAGTTAGAATATTCCACAGTGATAATAGGATTATGGTAAAAGTTTCCCAACATGAATAATATAAAAAAACATAAATTTAACTAGGAAGATGGTATTGTGATGTGGTAAATGTGTCCTCTTGTGCTCTTCAAAATGTGGCACTGTGGGGAAAGGTTCTGATGGCAGGTCAAGTTATCAACATCCAGGTGACTATTTCCTTTCCCATCCCTGGATCCTCCACTGTTCAACTTTTGACAGTTTCTTCATACTTCCCACCAAGCTGTGACTCCTGAAACTGTAAATCTCCAAATTTCAACTATTTCTACAAGAACTCAAAGAGATCAGAGATAAACTACTCAGCACCCTGAAGGATCTAAGATCACACAAACTACATTAGGTTTACAAATAAGTGCAAGAGTATTATTGTAATGCCTAGAGAGGAGTGCTTCTCAGTTTTTTTAATCTAATAAAATACTGAGAGGTTGACTTAAATTCAAAATGCACAGACAACTGACATTTTGCGTGTCCTCAGAAGGGTTCCAAGATCATACAATAGTCAAAAGTTAAACTAAAATTCACTGTGGAGATTTTGACTTATTCATAACTACCGTGAAGTCAAAATCTCACAAGGATTTCACTTACTTAAATGTACTCACTGAGCACCTATCAGCCATCCTGGCATTATGTTAACTTGTGCAGATACAGCAGTGAACAAAACAAGACTAGTCTCTTTCCTCTGGAGCTTACTTTCATTACCGAATATTAACTAAATTGAGATTATTCACTAATATTTTCATTCAGTTTTATTTCTTGGGAGATTTTTTGGTTTACCCAAAGCATATGTAATCTCTATTTTTTTCAGCCAGGTTTTCAAGCAATGGCCTCAGCCTCTTCCAAAAAAGCCACTCATCCAAGTGATCTGGTATCTAATTGTATCTGTGTGTGTGTGTGTGTGTGTGTGTGTGTGAGAGAGTGCAAGGTTTAGAAGAAAGCTAATGTCTGCTTGTCCCCAAAATAAATTAACACGCAGCTAACATCAAGAGAGCCAGAAACACTCACTGCAAGTGTGAACACATATTTGACTGCAGGACTGTCTTTCCCAGGGCTGACCTTATAAATTAAACAGTGTAAATCTCAGGAAAGTGTTTTCTGAACATTTAGATGCACTGTGAACTTTAGGATGCCCTTCAAATTAACATCTAACATTATTAGCCTATTGTTGGACATAAAGTGCTTCATTACTGGTGACTGAGAAAACACACACACACTTGTACTAACACACAACTCTTTAAAAGAACAAGAGAAACTATTTAAAATCTTGGGATGTGAAAATTAAAGTCACTAGATTTTTAAAGGAAGATGCTGAGTTTTCATATGAAAGATCACTTAAAAATAGTCAGTAAAGCTCTTTACTTCAGTGCTTCAGAGCACAATAACAAGATGGTACCCAATATGCCCTAAGCATAGCAGAATGCGCAATGCTACCAGGATTTTGCAGAACTAATTCCTACTTATAACCAAAAATCAGTTTAAACGCTCCTTTAAGTGCTCGTTCCTGAAGGAGACCTTTCCTCATTTACCATATTGGGTTGTGTCATCATTAGATCCAAATGCAGTGACCTCTTCTTCATCCTTCATAACACTCATCGCTCCTGTAATGATCTGTTAAGACCTTCCCTACACCAAAGAGTGAGTTCCATGAGGGCACAGGCTGTGTTTATTTTCTTTTCTCCTACACGATCAATGCCTGGCACAACGCGTATTTTTGAAGTTAATGAGTTAAGGAACGAATACATCCATGAATTAAAGATACATATTCTAATCTCATCTCTAGAAAGTATGAAAGATTAACTGTGACAATTAGCGTCTATAAAGAGAATAGGATGAAAGTAGTAAGAAAACACTACCACATCCTATGTATATTTATGAATCCAAACATGTTAAGCAACTTTCCCCGCTCACAGTGTACAGAAATCCAAAGTCACACACATTACAGAATCCTCGCCCTCAGACTACCGTCTGTATGCAAAATAAGAATGTTGCTTAATTTTTTAAAGCTAGGGGAACGCCCGATTTCATTTTTAAAAAAAAACAAGCAACATGTTCTTGAGCTGCTCGTTTCCCAGTTGGAAGAGAGACTAGAACACATCATAGTGGCATCTTTCATTTGGAGGCTGCCCCATCCAAAATCATGAGACCCAGAGTCGTACTTAGCAAGGACAAGGAAGCAAACTGTGGTTAAACCATCAGCATTATCAGCATCATTACAAATTTGAAAATACACTCAGTAGATGGTATAAAACAGGTATGAAACATAAGAGTAAACGGTCTGAAACAAGTGATCAAATTAAACTCTGTGATTATCACCTCTACAAGTATCATATTCTATATGATCGTGTCCTATAGCTCCCCCAGGTCACCACAACCATGCCCAACAATTCTTAGGTCAGCCCTCTGAGGACTTCCTATCGTTTCCTCGCTACCTCCCAGCCCCAACAGGGCTTACCTGTAGTGTCGGGAAATCTCCTCTTCCACCTGGGTAATGAAATCACATTTGGTACATGAGTGTTCTTTGCTCTCCTTGACAGCCTGCTGCCCATCCGATCCTGGCGGGTGATTGCCTTCTTGTTTGACATCTGATGCTTGGGACTCATGCACGCTCTCATAATGAAAGAGGAGCACGTCCACGTCGGGGGTGGAGAACGAGCACTGGTGGCACTGGTGTTTGACCCTCGAGCTTCCAGTCGCCCCGGGAGACAAGTGCAAAAGCAAGAGCGCGCAGTGCGAACAATTACTTTTTCTACAAGCAAACGGATAAGTAATTTCTCCAAGGTGCTTTTCTGGGCTGCAAAGGCCTCGGGGACAGAATGGACAGTGTTTGATGGTACACTTATGAATGTTGTGGAGCTGCTGATAATGGCGGAGGAGTGGCCCCACTACAATGACATCGGGGCCATGGCTTTTGGAATATCTAAAGTCACAGAACTGACAGTTGTAGCTGGTGACCATGTTATCCTCTGCTCCCTTGCTGGAGAAGTCCTTCTTCTTCGCCCCACTGGAGCCCTTGTCTGCCTTGGTCATTGGCTCGCCTTCTGCACTTTTGGCCATATCATTCTGATTGATGACAGAGCCCCTGCAAAGCTTATCATTCAGCTCTGGATTAAGGCCACCGTGCTGCTTGCCATAATGTTCGAGAAGCTTAAGCGAGCTAGCTGACTCACAGCTGAAACTACAAAATTTACACCAGTAGTAACTGGTGGCCTCTGTACCATTCTGTCTCGAGGAATCGAGGGGCTTGATGGGCACTGAGTAGCCAACAGGCGTGTCATCTCCCGCCTTGACTGTGATCTTGTCCTGCCACTTTCCCAAGTCTCCAGAATCACTGGACCGGAGGGCAGGGATGGATTTGTTAGAGTTTTTCTCCGCAGGTTTTGCACCCTCAGAGGAGGGGAGAGAAGCTTTTATTTTGTTCGGGTGCGTCTGAAGGAAATGTTGTTCTAGTTCAGTCGATGAGTTGCCCATATACGTGAAATTGCAGAATTTACAGCGGAAGTACTTGGTGTTTCCTTGGCAATCTGGTGTTTTCCGTCCAATGCCAATGAATGTTCCACCCGAAGTGACCTGGAATAGAAGAAATGGATGTTACTTTAAAAGTATCTTTAATTCAGTGCTTTTTGTAGGAGGGAGGAGGCAACACTGCCAAAATGTTCCACAGCAAAAAATACAACAATACTTCTGCTTATTGTGAAATCACTTGAATAATCAGAGTTAAAGAAATCCACTCTTCATTACTCAATAGCTACTCTATGAGAGGCTCATTATGCTAAACATTTTTGGCCAAAGTATCAGATGAAGGTAAGTAATAAGAGTACTATAATTCAAAGGATTTAATAATACATACTTCAAAAAAATTTAGATGACAGCTGTCAGTTAAGGAGGTTTTACTACTGCTTCCTTCAAATCATACGCCCGCAGAAGCATCCAAATCACACAGGGGTTTCTTCTCACAAAGCTAAAGTTTGCTGTCAAAACCAGAGGCAGTTGCTCAGAGATTGCTCAATGCGGACATTCTCCAAGGAAATCCTATGTCCACCGTTTACAGCAATGAGGCTTAAGGCAAAGATGAGGTCTCTCTTTGGGGTAAAATAAAGGTGCTAAATGACCACACAAAATGGCTTACAAGTAAATCCTGAGCATGCACAATTGGTCTGAAAGTAAAATGAATGCAGTGACCTTGAAATCTTGATGAAGGAGGACCAGCATAAGGAATTTACAATGTTTCCCAATCCACGGCAAATGAAAAGAAAGAAGCCTTCATCATGTGATGAAGGCTCTGTCTCACAGCAAAGACTCAGCCCCTCCTCACAGCAAAGACTCAGCCCCTCCTGTGATAGTCAAGGGATATCTAAAATCAAGTAATTCCGCCATAAAAATCACCACAGCTCTTTCTATCCAAAATTACAGTACTACGTAATGAAGGCCTTCAAAGAGCATCTCATATAAACCCTTGTCGGGGTGCACTGCACCAGGCAGCTTAACTGTCACCACCCAGCAGCCAACATTCCTGGTTTAAAACAGAATTTTTGACAGAAAGGCTCCAAAGCGGGGGAGAGATTTCCTCTTTCAACAATCAGGGAATTTTTGACTTTTTCCAGCAACCAGATGCAACAGATTAAGCACGTGGCATAATCGTGCTCTGCCTTCTTCAACAGCTGCTCAGAAATGACATGTGTGATCACTGCTCATATCCAAATCACTCCGTGAGAAAAGTCTCAAGCATCTCAAAGTCATTTACAAGATGCTACTTAAGAAGCAAAGAATATTCCTTTAGCGTGCTGAGAGACATGCTTGTACTGTCCTGCACGGGGCGAAGACTGAAGCCTGTCCCGCCACTTTAAAGGGAGGTGTGACCTGGATCAAATTACTTAACCTCCCTAGCCGACGGCTTCCTCAATGGAGGCAATCTTTAAACTTATTTCCAAAATTACAATCTAGGAAATGTGCAAAAACACATCAACAGTTCAACATTTACTGTTCATTAAGATAATAATTGATGAAGGTCTCCCACAGCCCTTAATCGAAGGATGACAATGTTTCACTGCAGGCAACGTCTATATTCACCACGGCAAACACTCACATTTCAGTCTGTCAAGAGCAGAGCACCATCTAACCAGAAGGGTGAGAATGTGGGCACCCTCCCAGGCAGCAACCTGACAGTTAATCACTGGTGTGCAGGATGCCCAAGCCAGGTCACACAAGATCATTCTATTCACCATTCTAACTTAGCACTGCAGTGACCAAAGCAACTAAAATCTGCAGCAAAATGTAATGTGTAATATTGCAAAATCCCTCCATCTGTGTCCCAATTCACTAAAGGAGAGAAGAAACCCTGTTTGTTTGTTTTTTAAAAAAAAACACAAAAATAAAAACCAACAACAACTTTCAATAGGATGTCACGTACTTGGGTACTTTGTTCAGGAACTTCAATTTTGAACCAAAAGGGGCAAATTCAGAAGTATCAAAATCTTCTCTAATGTAAGCAAAGAAGGCCAGTATACAAAATCTAGAGATGGAAATTCGCTTACTTTAGCTACCACATGGCTTCAGAGTTTCCGAGTTTCCCCAACAGGAATGTTTTGAACTTTTACTTATAGAACAGGGATTCCTTAGAAACCAGGACACATTATCCCCATTTCTTTGCCTGCAGTCTCCGAGCCTCATGTTCCATGTCCACACTGCAAGGGCTGAACACACAGTCTCAACAAATCTCTCAACTTACGATTCTGAAGTGAATTTAAATTATTACTAAGCAACATGGCATCCTTTCCTGTATTTGACATAAACTGTGAGAGTCAGAACATCCAAGCTAAGAGAGACTCCTATCAGGTGAAGAGAACATTTCATACAACAAACTGCCAGTAAAGCATTTCGGTCTAGGATTAACTGAGCTATGACGAAAACTGCACTAAATCTTTTTAGTTGGTAGTGTCTGTGTGTTTTCAGCCAACTCCATTATTCAGGATGCTTTTAATGGTTATGCACTTTACGCTGAAAAGCGCCTTCATACTACCCGCTGCCCTTTCAAAAACCACCCAGGCAACCGAACAACACAAGGATCTCATTTAATGGCAAGAACAACAATACTGACACTTGTACAGATTATCCACTTGTCTTCTTGGTAAAAAGCAGTTAATCATATTAGTATTATATACCATTAAAAGCTAATGTAATATTAGAATTACATATCTTACATATTATAAAAGCCAACTTTAGAAAACATTATTACTTAGTGTTCTATTCCTTTTCTTCCCAAAAGAAGCTCTTAAGGTTACATTTGCGACCATTTTTATACTTTCTCTGTTAAGAGATGTATACCTAAGTCGTGGTGAAATATGACTGATGTCTACCACTTAACTACCACTAAAATAAAATAAAGAGCATTATTATTTTAGGATACCATACCTAAGACTATTGACCACATTCATTTTATTTTCATGACCCCCCAAATGTTGATTTAAAGCAATCCTTTTCTAGGTCAAACACTAATACAAAGCACGAACAGTTCATGCAAAATAAGTGTTTTGCAGCAACAGTTTATTTAATCTTATTTCAGAGAATTATTTCAAACTTTGCGAATGATTGAACCCAGCAAGAAACAGAAAAAAACTTATTCCCTTCAGATGACTATACTAGAAAGAGATCACAAGCAGAACAAAGAGTATAAACTTCAATCTTTCTTCTTTGGCTAACCAGAACTTTAACGATAACCCATTAATCCAAGCAGTGCCTTTGATACAGATAGCCACATTTTAAAATTCCTATTAAACTGCAAATTCTATTTGGACCAAAAATTACACCTATTCATTCATTCAGTTAGTAGCAACTCAGTATATAGCTTGTGCCAATTTCTGTGATCAATATCAAGATACAATACTGAAAAAGCCAGACCACAGTTCTGCCTTTAAATTACTTATATTTTAAGATCAAAATTTGTAGATAAAAACTTTTATTCATTTGTATTTATGTTCATTTGCATTTGTTTGCTCCCAAAGGAAGTTTCCAGGTTCAGTCCTGTGGAAAGACACATTATTTAACCTCCTAGAACCTCAGTTCCCTCATTTTTATGGATAAAAATAATACTGTACACCTTGCCATTATATAGGATTATTCTCAGGATCAAGTGAGAGAACGTATCTGAAAGTGATTCGCAAACTGTCGATCAGTGCCGACCAGCAGAACTCTCTCAGATGAAGGGGATGGTCCCTAGTCTCCCCTGCCCAACATGGCAGCCACGAGCGTGGCTACTGAGCACTTGAAATAGAGCTAGTGCAACCGACGGACTGATTTTTTAATTTAATGTACATTTTTCTATGAATTTTTCATCAATTTAGTGTTAATTAACTGAAATTTAAATAGCCACGTGTAGCGACTGAATACTACATCAGACAGAACCTTCTACAGTACTAGTCACATGAATGAGACTATTGTCTAATAAAATGAACTACCTAATCGAATTTCCCCTGCCAGTGAGAGGAAAAGACGAAATAGAAGGGGACGTGGTCAAGTCAAACTCAAGGACTTGTTACTCCTAGTATTCTTAGCTGAAAATGAAAAACTTCAGTTCTGCTTTTACTAAGCTAACACTTCCATTTACATTCCCTTGCGGACTGAGAAATGGTGTTTCATTCATCTTTGGAAGTAAGCGGGGGCTTGATACATTTTGGTTGAATGAATGAACTAGTTATTGAACATGTGAATCTCTCACTTACTTGGGATACAGAAGTTATACTAACTCATGGCCCCATTATCATTGATTCAACCTGATGAATAAGAGTTTCCTTCAAAAAACCCAGGAGAAATTGCATCTTTCATCCAAAAACAAATGACTATGGAGTCATTCACTTGTGAATTCCAGTTACATGGAAACACCCACGATACTTGTTAGACGTGAAAAAAACACATTTTAAGTTGTTTTCTACTGATTGAGGACTACGGTGTCTTTTTATTCTATTTTAACTTCAGTTTTAAAAACTATTTTTTCCATGTCGTATGTTTCATGACTTTCATTTATAAATTTATCTACTTATGGCTTTTCACAAAAATCTTTCACTATGGAAGTTTAAAATATAAAAGGTTGGCTTTTTTCAAGGTCTTTAACCTCAATTTAGCTCTTTCCTCCTAAAAATATGGAACAAAAACTGGTAAGAATAGTATCTAAAAGAATATGTCAAAGGAAAAGATTTTTTTAAAGCCTCAGAACTCTTAAAATGACATTTTAACACATGTACGTATTTTCAATGGAACAAAAAGAGGTGTTTGAACTAAATACAAACTCTTCCTCAGATGTGGTTCATTTTCAAGTACTGTAATTGATAGCAACAGAGACAATTAGGAAGGTACTAATTTAAAAGGACTTGAGGTTATGGGCTGATAGTCAAAAAAGTAAAACCTTAACAACAAAAGGCTAAGTTGTTAAAAGTATCTGTTCAAATACTGAAGTCCCAAATAACACGAAGAAATCTGCCAGGGCCGATCTTGGCTGAAAATAACTATAGTCAGAATCAACGTGCTAATCTACATAGGGCTTTGTACAGAGCTCCAAAAAAACCTTGCAGAATATA